AAAAAAAAAGCGAACTATACTCTTTAAAAAAAGAGGGAAATATATTTATAAAAAAAAAACTAAAGATATTTATAAGAAAAACAATTTCTAAGATATACGTTTTTATAATATATTGTAATGTATCGAAATATATCGAATTTGTTTTTTAAAAAAAAAATATATATTTATCAGAGAGACTTTTTTGATATATGTATCTCAGAAAATATGCGAAAAACTTATATATCTTAGTAAATAGCCGTAGAATCTATATACTCCAAGATTATAAGAGCCTTTATTTATTATTTTATTATTTTTAGCCTACGGACGGCTGGTATAGTAGTTCGGCTTATTAACCTAATAAAGATATTTTTACCTAGGACTCGGGCTAGGGATTAGGTAAGGGGTACTCTATAGGTACTACTTATATCATCCTCTATCTTAGTTCCCAGTGACTGACATTATAGGCCTAATGTAAAAAAATTTATACCTTTACAAAGCGATCTCTATTCTCATGTAATCTAACCAGCGAATCAAGCTGCTATTATGAAAGCCATAGCTGTACGCTTACGACTTCACATCCTACTATTTGACTACTAACGGCTGTAGTACTATTGGCAATTCGGGAACGGGTGCCGCATATCCACCCTATCTTAGAGACTAGCAGTCTCATCATGCTTTTTGTACATCATATCGAAAATCTGAAGATCTTGAAGAGCATCCTCTGGGGTGGTCTTGATTTTCTTGCCGTCAACAAAACATGCATGCATTTCCTTCAATTCAGCCGTGTAGGCATCCTCGTATGAAGTGAGGACTTCCCTGGATTGAATTTCGCCATGTTCATTGAGTTCCTCTATCCGAACTTTGATTGGCAGACCCTTAACATAGGGAGAATCATAATGGATTGAGACGCGTTTGTTTTCTCCGTACACGGCAAGATGCGCGTCAAATTCAGGAACAGCATCAATGCCGCTTTCATACGTGACCGCAAAAGGCTCACCAGTCTTGTTTCGGAAGTTGAAGATGGCGGAGTAGAACGGCTCATTGACTGATACACCACCGACCGACTCTGGGAAGCCCAAAGCTTCCCTCATCATAGAGATGTCCTGGTTAAGTTCAAGTCAGATATCGTAAATTTCAACTCAAGACCAATGTTTCCCTAACCAAAACCCTGTCCACAATATGCGCGAACGCCCAGCCTCTGATGTGCAGGTGATGTGGAAGATCCCTTAAGGGAAAGACAGGGTCCGAAGTAGGAAGACAGTACTTACGTGAGAACCAAGGCTTCCAAGGAACCTACACATCTTTTTCCGCTCCTCTGTGATCTTTTTCCCGGGGAAAGCTTCTGCAAACAGCTCCCCCAAAAGCCTCTCTCGTTCCTCAGCAGCACCATCAGGGAAGTCCGTATTCTTTACTTGGAAAGTCCCTGACTGCGAGACGAATTGTAAGTTCGGCCCACTGAAGTCGCGAACCCTCGCGTACAAAATCCGCGGGATGGATGCAATTTCTCTTGTAAAGGCCTGCGTGAAAGAAGGCGCGTACCGCCTCATGTACCCTACAAAGACTCGTGATCCACCTGCCGCCTTATCTGCTTCCGCAATTCTCTGGGCAGAAGGTAGCGACAATGTAAGTGGCTTCTCGATCATGACGCGCTTGCCGGCCTTTAATGCGGAGATGGTGTAGGGCGCATGATATTCGTCCGAGGTGAGTATGAAGACGACGTCGACGGCAGGGTCGTTAATGACTTCGTTCGGATCGGTACAGGACTTGGGGATATGGAATTTGGCGGCACAGTGTTCCGCATTCTTGCGAGAGATATCGCAGATGGTTTCGACCGAGTAAAGATGAGAAAGCAGGCTAAGAACAGGCAAATGAATGACCTGAGTTACTTCGCCAGCGCCAATGATACCAACACGGAGCTTCGCAGGAGCGGCCATGGTGAGAAGGTCAACAATGCGTACGTTGGATTGTGGGAGAGAGGTTGAAAGTGGCAGCAAGGCGGATGTGCGCAGCTACGTTATGTTCCCCACTATAAGAGCGGGGCGATCTGCTCTGCCAGACTGCGGGGCTGACGCGAAGCGTTTGTACCAACGTATAGCGAGACAGAGACAGGGGACGATACAAGCAGTCCCTACAGAGCACTTCTTGCCCAGCTCCTAGCCCGAGTTCTAGGCATAGATGAAAAGGTCTTAGAGTATATATGGACTCTAGATATCTTAGCTGGGTCTCTTCTTCTACTCCACAAGTATCACCATCTCGCTTCACGGTGAATCTCGGTTAACGGTGACGGACGTTACACGCTCCCAACGAAGCGTTTACTTTCATGTCTAACGCCCCTCTAGTCTCATGCGATCCAAGGTCCGTCCTTCATCCCTTCTCGCAATCAGAAACCAGGCACTAGCGGTCCAGCAAAATCCTATGCCCAACCAGCTGTGTACGGGCATCTTAAGCTTGTTCAGGCAAATTAGTTGAAAAGCTCCTCTTGGCACGCTCAAGAAGTTGACAGTAAGAGGGCTTGTTGCCTTCGTCAACAATAGCGTGCTGGAAAAGACGGCCCATGCCCCAATACCTCCGCACACGGTTAGGAACCAGAAAAATGGAACGTCTAGGAAGTAGCAGTTGTGATGAATGTTGGGAAGTTCACCGCAAATGAGGACCATTGGAGTCAACATTATGAGCGTCAGGGACGACGTGTAATGAAGCGTACGCCAATAGGCGCGCGTCTCCTCTCGGCTTCCTGATAGAGGCTCATCAGCTCCGGCAGCAGAGGGAAAACCAGTTAAGACGTCGCCTTGCGGCACCATATCGGCGACAATGGCACGATAAGTGCGCAGAAGCAGGACCGGATAAATGGCGACGAAAAAGGACGAAAAGACGCCAGCTACGATACTCTCCGATGTAACACGCCCGCCTGGGCGGATACAGGCAACGAGCAAACTGAAAGCTGCCGTGAGAGCAGACGACATAGTGGAAACCGAGTTGGCAGAGAGCGCCGACCGCGAAGAAGTCGAGGCAAGGATCAGGGACAGCGGCACCACACCAATTCGGGCCAAGCTGTACGTTTCTTGTGCCGAGTAACTAGATAGTGGTCGTCAGCTGCCGGCCCGTATGTGATTGACCGAAGACTAACGCGAAAGATATATTGCTCAAGACCACTTTCGCCAGGTACACGATAGCCAGAAGAAGTGCCTGGCGGGCCACACGCCACTCAAACTCGAAGACGCCACCACCAGCTATGCCAGCGCTGCCGCCAGGCAACCGGCGTAGGATACTGGCAAGAAGCCCCGTCGTTCTCGCGGCACCCCGAGACCCAGGCGATCCAGCTGAGAGGGGCGTGGAGGGAGCTACGGCTGCGCCGAGCCCCAGCCTCTGAAGAGGCCGGGCGAGCAGGCGCGTGAGGCTGGAGAACCAAATGAGAAGGATGTGTGCCAAAATCAATTGTATCCATGTCATAGTAAGCGGATATGGGAATCTGCTACGCATTAGCGAACGGGCCCAGAGGACAGTGTCGGGCGGGCGAGTCTTACTTGTATACACCAGCTGTGGGGGCACGTCAGCGCAGGCTCTTGCAGCAATGTCGACGTCTGGTGGAGACGGTACTCAGCAAAATAAAGCGGTTCATCAAGAGCAGACCGAAGGCGCAGCCAGAAACCCAGAAGAGCAGCAGACCGACATAGACCTGCCAGCCCGTCCAGGTGCCGAAGAAGAAGTTGCCGAGGCCGCCATTGGCCAGGATGCCGCGCCAGGAGCGCGCATGGCCGCCGCTCGCGATGTCCGAAGCGACAAGCGGCCTGACGAGGGACAATGGCTCGTAGTCGTCGTCCTCATCCTCGGACTGGGCGGCGCTGCGGGCGCGAGGGTAGGGCGAGGGGGTGCGGGAGATGTCGACGAGGGGAATGGCGCCAGGTTGGAGCTCGGCGGAGCCGGCGGAGGACTGGCGGAGATGGGCGGACTGTCCCTCCATGCTTGGATGCGTGTGGAGCGGACGAGGGAAGGGGTGAGTGAAGCAAGCACGGCAAGGATTACTGTGCGAGTCATGCGCCGAACCAGACATTACATTACATGACTAGGTAGGTAGGTTAGAGAGGTATCGCTATCATGGATCAAACGCCCGACTGCGGCTCCAAGCCCCGGCCCTCCGCCCACTCGTTCCACGCCCCGCACAGCTCGCCCAACCCGCTGCCATCGTCGTCAAACGTCTCCGCAATCTCCGCTTCCAGCTCCACAATCTGCGCCGCAAACCCCATCGCCTGGTGGAAGCCCACGTGACAGTGCATGTTCCACACCCCCGGGTTGTCCGCCCGCCACGCCAAGACCACATAGCCCCCGCCCGGCATCATCACCGTGTCCCGCCGCGCAGGGTTCTGCAGCCTCAATGCCGTGTCACCCGTATACGTCCCGTTCCCAATCCCAACTATTCCAAAGTCGTGTCCATGCAAATGTACGGGGTGTGGGAAGTCTATGGTGCTCTGCATGATGACGTAGATCCACTCGTTGCGCGTGGGCGCCGTCAGTAGCAGCTTGCCGCTGTAGTTGTTCACGACGCCCTTTTCCACGATGCCGCGCAGCGTCGGATCACCCCAGTGGGCGACGAACGTTGTTCCGTCAATGAACCATTTGTAGACATTGTTGGCGTCGGTCGTGACGGAGACGTCGGCGTTGAAGGCGGCGTCAGCATCGGCAGCGTCGAGAGCCAGCACAGGCGTATGGAGCGCCGGATCCTCGTCCACGCAAGCAGGCGTATAGTTGTACGCCGTTGACGTTGGCATGGCCCCTGGACCGCCGTTGTAATGAACGATTGCTCTTATATCGTGGCCTTGTCTGACGTTACCGCAGGGATCTTGGTTGTCCGAGCGCATCCAGTAGTCGCCCACTGCTTGATCCGCGGACACAATAACTTCGTACCGTTGCCCTGCAGCTTGTCAGTAATATTTCTTTTATCCGAGAGAGCTTTGGCTTACCGATGTTGATATCGAGTATATCTGTTTCATAGGGCACTATGGGCGTAAAGTCGGTGGAGATGACTTTTAATTTGTGCCCTGGTCGCATTGTCAGTCGTAAGGCCTCAAAGCTGCATCTTAAGGTCAAATACTTACCGTCAATGTAGAACTTGAAACTTGACTGAATACCCACACTAACGAGTCGCAACAAATACGATTTGCCCTTGACCACATTCATCTCGAAACGTTTCCCGGTCTGGTTAAATGAGCCATCTGGACCCCATGTGTTCATCCCGTTGATCAGGCCGTTGTCCATGGCAGGTGCTCTAGCGCCCTCCTCAGTAACGGGGCTTTGAGAGCGGGCATAGAGCGTGTCCACAGTCTCATGGCTCCAGTCCTGTAGGAAGATGTGCCCTGCGTCAACGTCATACTCGGCACTGCTGGGCCCATAGATGTTTATAGGACCGTAAACTCCTTCCCATGTTTGGAGAGCAAAGTGAGAGTGGTACCATGAAGAGCCGTAAGATGTAGCAGTAAATACGTAAGTCATCTGCTCGCCTGGCGGTATGGGGCATTGAGTGATAGATGGTACGCCGTCATACTGGTTCGTGTGGTTCTGCCGGATACCGTGGAAATGAATGGTTGTACCGTTGTCCTGCATTTGGTTGATCACAGTGACTCTGACTGTGTCCCCCCAGTTGGCCTCAATAAGGGGCCCGGGCATCGTACCGTTGACTAAGAGGCCGATCCGAGGCACACCATCTGGTGCAAAGGTTGTATTTGTGACAACGAGAGTGTACTCTACAGTCCGACATGTCTTGGGAGTGTATTCATAGTAATTGGTGGTGATGTTGTAGCCACACCATTGATCGGTCCCCGGCTGGCCTTCGCAACGGACGCAGGAACCATCGGTTGAACTTGTAGGAAGGACTTCTGGACACGCAGATACAGTCTCGGTTTCGGTTGAAGTGCTGCTGGGCTGAGTCGTATTTTGAGGTAGTGATGTTGCGGAAAAAGTTGGCGTGAAGGCTGTAACGGTTTCAATTGCCGTAAAAGTCGTGCTCGTCCATATTGTGGCCACCGAGTTTGACTTTGCAGCGGGAGGAGAGCCATACCGCTGCCTCCTTTTCAGGCTATGGGGCCAATTTGAATCGCACACACCGTGACTGGCCTGGCAGCCCTCCTGACAGTAGGCGCTTGTAGAGCCGCAGAATCCATACTGGCTACAACAGTCGCCGAATAAAGACCCTACGCACGTGTAGCCTAGCGAGCCTCCGCAAGTACCGTCTTGAGAGGGCGATCCTCTAACACTGGTACAGAGTCCGTATTCTACTTGGCAACCGACATCGCAGTGTTCGGCCGTCGCGCCACAAGTACCTTCATTGCTGCAGCAGTTGCCAAACACGGAGTTAAAACAGGTGAGTCCATTTCTCCAACCGCATGCACCATCGCGGGAGATGTGCGATAGGGCGGACGAGATACCGGCCATGCAAAAAAGAGACCAGCCGACAATTTTCATGTCGGATGGCTGAATGAAGAAAGCGAAAGATGTTATATGAACGATGAAGATTGCATTGAATACCGAATGTTGGGATGAAGAAGAAAGAAAGATAGCGGCCGACGTGGACGACGGCCTGCGGTTATTTTTGAGTGAGCAATGGGTAGACGACCAGCCTCGTATATATGGTGAAGTCACCTTAGGTCCTCTCGTAGCTGCCAGGCCGGTCACCGTTTGCGTAGCTATTTCCCAGAGTACCAAGAACGCACTGGGCCGCGCAGGCCACCGCCATGATGCTCTCAAAATGACCTGATGCTCAATGGTACTCTAGCAGTACTCAACGGCAAGTCACGTAGAGTTGCGGTCTGAAACTGTGGCTGCTGCATCATCTTTTCCTTTTTTAGCAACTCGCATCGCGAGAGCGCTTCTTGATTGGTTGCTAAGGAGCTGTGGACCATGTGCGATGCGGCTCAAATGCTAAGACGCCAGCCGTTCCCGGGAGCATGCAGAAAGACGGCACGCCGACAAGCATGTGTACCCGAGCGAGAATACGCGGGTCTCCGCATCCCGCCACCCAACCATGGACGAGGCGGTATCAGTTAAAGTGGCTGGACGTCCCGACGGCTAGCGGAAGAAGGCGGCTGAGCTCGTGGCCGTGGCTGTACGGTATATGTTTTAGTAGCGAGGGTGCTTTCAACTTTTACTAAATCTGCCACAGCCCGTGTCTCTCGATATCCCTGGGGCATACGAGACAGATCTGCTAACTGTGGTAATAGTTGGCGCGGTTGTACAAGGTGATCCTGCAAGAAGACACTCCAGCCGTCTTTCTTCGTCAGGCAGCTGTTGTTGCACCTGCATGAGTCCTTCATAGTGGGTGGGGGGTGTTGCTGACATCTGCATGCGTGAGGTAGGTAGTTATCGACCGGAGCACGGATAAACCCGCTCCATTCTTGGTACCCGTGAGCTAGGTAATTCCAGCTAGACAAGCATTTTCACGTGCGCGGATCCGTGTCCAGGTCCCCGCACTAGGTACGACGAAGACCGTTGGGTTGGCACTTGGCCACAAGCGGCTACGCACGTTACCGTCGAGCGAGATTCACCGCCTAACCAGTTAATGACGCTTGTACGGAGTGGAAGAAGAATCCAGTTCAGGCGTTCGTAGTATGCGTGTGCTCTAAGACCTTTCCACTCATATCTGGGATTTAGGGTTAAGGCTAAACAAAGAGTAGTCCGTAAGAAGTGCTTGGTCGATCTCTGTCTCGGTAGACAGTGAATCTCGGTTGACGGTGACGGACGTTACGTATCCCGAGACTGAAATGACTGCATTGCATCTGGGTAACAGATCTTCGCCCATTGGTAGGGCTGCAATCCGACGGTTTCTGGGAGACCAAAACACAACTGCTGCCGAGCGGCTCGAGCTCGGGCCCTATCGTGTACGTAGTACGACGAAAAGTGTGCAATCTCTCCTTGTCATACAGGTGCACGACGTTTTACTGTAGCCTTGCCAACCGACCTGTTCGGCGTCTTGACTCTTGAGCACGACGCCAGTTAGCCGCATAAAGCCATGACGCAGCGTCGACGTACACAGCATCGCTTTCAAACACCCGACCCATGGCGAGCAAGGCAGTACTACGTTTCAGGCGCAGCCAAGATCTGTCGCTGCATTTCTCCGGGGCGGTTCAGGGTGTTTTCCCGAAACGGCCACGGCCGTCCATAACAGGCAACCGCCCACAGGGCTGGCACCGGCAGCCGGCGGCGATCATCCGAGCCCGTGTTACCCATCGCCGTCATCTGACAACAAACATCATTAGCTGGGTATGAAGCTCGCGCCACGCTACAGCTGCCTATCCTTACATCCCTGGTGCTTCAGGTCACGAGAGAACTCGTAGTCACTCCACTTTTTCCTGCTCCTTGTCCCCTGTTCCATCGTCGTTTGTCGCGCCCTCTACCCCGCCCAATTGTGCTTTGAGGCCGCCCTTGCCAACCCTCATGGCTCTCTTCAGTTCTTCTTCCTCCTCTTTCAGACGACCTTTTCCATACTCAAGGTCCTTCCTTTGTCTCCACTTTTCTTCCTGTACCCTTTTCTCGCGCTCCGCTAGCGCCTTTTCTCTCCTCTCTCGATCCCTCTTCCGTCTCTCGACCTCCTCTAGCTCCTCGCTCGGCTGACCCGTAGCCTCCGGCGCTGGAGGCAGTGTGGAAATATATGCTTCAATCATTGAATCACGTACCGATGCAGACAGCGAGATGTAGCGCAGGTCTGTCAGTAGTGCTGGAGGCAACGCAGCGAGGCTCGTGGAGCGGTTAAGGGCAGGCAGCGGCAGTGACTTGAGAAGAGCAGAAAGGTCCGATTTGCGCGTGCTCTCCGGAAGTTTGAGGCGATTGATGTGCTCGCGATACCACTTTTCGCGGTCTTTGTCGAGAAGCTTGGCGTCCTTCATTTCAGGCTCTTTTTTGTACTTGCGCCGGAATTCAGGCCAATAAAGTTTAGGAGTAGCGTGCTTCTGCAGAAAAGCCAAATATGGGATTGCCGGGTCCCTCTTTTCGGCCTTCTCGCGCTGTTCTTTGAGCTGGGCAACACGTTCGCGTGACCATTCGCTCCAGGCTTCCTTGCGAGACCTCATGTTTGGCAGAGCGACGTATCTGTCGTCTTCAATGACACGACCTTCCTCGATGACTTTTTCCCATGTAGTGAATGGGTTGATGTGATAATCATCTAACAGGTCTTTGAACAGTGCTTTGGAGTCCTCTTCAGTCAAAGGCAAACCCTCGGCACCTTCCTCCCATTGATCATCCTCGCCATTTTCGTAAGAGCCTGGATCCATGCCATAATCTTCACCCATGGCTGCCAACTGGTATGCAATATCGTCTTCGTTGAACTCGACGGGCTGTTCATCTGCTTCTTCGTCCGTCTTCTGCCGCTTCGATGGACCATCTTCGTTCTCGGCATCCTCGTCATCAGTAACTTCGACTTCTTCGTACTCATCGCTATCATAGGCCTTTGGCTCTGCCGTAGAGGTCGTAACAACCCGCGGGACAGTCTTGGCGTCTTGGGCGGCCATTTCGGCGGCAGCAGCTTCACTATCATTCAGGTCGTCATCGCTAATTTCGCCTCGTTCACGCCGCTCGCGCCGCTCGCGCTCAATGCGGTCGAACTCAACCACACCTTTCATCACATCTTGCGGGAACTTCCAAAAGCTCTCGTTCGTGTGGGGGTTGTGCACGAAGCGCCTTCTAAGTTTGGTCTTGACTAACAACCATGGCGCACATCCAGGTATGAGGTACACGTGCTTTGGACGGTCATCGGGATGGTGTCTGCGACGGTCGGGATAATTTGCTTTGCCGCGCGAAATTTGGGGAGGTTGTTGGTGGCGTTGTTGATGATGATGATGATGGTGAGGCTGCTGGGGGTCGATGGGGGGCAGCTGGTTCGGGAACAGTTGGGGCAAGGAAATGGGGCGCTGGTATGTCGACTGCTTGGTTTCAGCGTTGTAATAGTAGGAATGGCCTAGGACAGAGTCAGCAGGCGCGGAGCGCGCAAAACGGGATGGCGGGTGACTTGCCTGTCGGAGCCTTGTGTTCGGACCAGCCGGGCGGGAGCGGCGGCGGGGCGGGGGCGGGCTTGTAGGTCGACTTGAGCATCGTGTTGGTACGTAGGCAGGTATTTGGTGGGATGGAGGGATGGGCGAGCTCTTGCAATGATGCTTTTCTTGGCGCGCCTCGGTCGGCGCGTCGGCGGATTGACAAGAGCTCGCGGCCCAGTCCGTGCGCGGCTGGCTGGAGCTCGCTCACACCTACCTCTACCTGCCTGCCTGCTCCAACGGCCTAGGTAGATACCCTCTCCCCCGCCATCCTCCCCCTTCCATCATCCCCGTACCGCCACCATGTCCCGGAGATACGACTCCAGAGTAAGCGTCCCCCACTCTTTTTGCTCGCACCCTGTAGCTCACCCGCTCCGTCTAGACGACCATCTTCTCGCCCGAGGGCCGTCTCTACCAGGTCGAATACGCCCTCGAAGCCATTTCCCATGCCGGTACCGCCCTCGGCATCCTCGCGAAGGATGGCATCGTGTTGGCCGCCGAGCGCAAGGTCACCAGCAAGCTGTTGGAGCAGGACACGTCGGCCGAGAAGCTCTACATCCTCAATGAGTGCGTCGCCATCTCCTCACCCCAGCCCTTGTCTCACATCTGACTTCTGTAGCAACATGATCTGCGCAGTAGCAGGCATGACTGCCGACGCCAACATCCTCATCAACTACGCCCGTCAAGCCGCCCAGCGCTACCTCCTCACCTACAACGAAGACATTCCCTGCGAGCAGCTTGTGCGGCGCCTGTGCGATCTCAAGCAAGGCTACACTCAGCACGGCGGTCTGCGTCCCTTTGGTGTCTCTTTCATCTATGCCGGCTACGACCCCCAGCGCCAGTTCCAGCTCTACCAAAGCAACCCCAGCGGCAACTACGGAGGCTGGAAAGCGACCAGCGTTGGCGCTAACAACGCGAGCGCGCAGAGTCTGCTGAAGCAGGACTATAAGGAGGATTGCGATCTGAAGGAGGCATGCGGTCTGGCTGTCAAGGTGCTCAGCAAAACAATGGATTCAACCAAACTAAGCAGCGAGAAGAGTATGTCGAACCCGCTCCATTTTAATACTCAAAGATGCTAACTCTACGCAGTTGAGTTTGCCACCGTGGGCAGAACGAAGTCCGGAAAGGTCTATCACCATCTTTGGGGTGCCGATGAGATTGATGCGCTCCTAAAGGAGCACGGATTAGCCAAGTCGAGCGACGGGGAGACGACTGAAGAGCGCATGGGCACGGCAGGTTACGCGGAGAATAGGCCGGAGAGTTAGATGTGACTCTACAGTCACCCCTCTGAATGGAACATGACGAATGTAATATACCTGCCTCTTATCAAGACGCCAATACATTCACGCAGATGCTCTGTCATAATACGATTCCCATCCAATTGCCACATCGCCTCGGCTTGTAATTCGACCTTAAGGCTATGATACGGTACATATCCTATTTTGCATGTTAATCACTCAGGAGCCATTCTGGTTCTGCATCTTCATCCTCCGGGTCATGTGAAAGCAGAGAACCTTTGTCGTCCTCGGAAGCAGGCACCTCTTCGCTTGTCTCCGACTTGGGAGTATGTGGACTTTGAATGACCATGTCCATCTCATTGGTTTTATTGAATCCGTCAGGTTCCGTCTGAGCAACGGAATGGGCCGAAGTATCACCCAAGGCATTTTCCGGTGTATCGACTGCTGGGTCCTCTGTCGCAGTTCCCTCCTGAATTTTTTGGACGTCCTGTTTGTGGAACTTCGATTCCCTAACCGGTTCTTCAAATGGCGCTTGTTCGGAAATCGCCCCGTTCTCGCTTTGGTCAACCACAGCATCCTTTGGGGATGCTTCTTCCCGATTTGATGGCCATTCTACGGGTGTGTTGACAGAGAAACCATTTCCATCTTCCGGCTCCAATTTGGCGTTGTCTTCCAGCAAGAACCCACCTCCTTCGTTTGGAATGGATTTATTTTCTCTTTCAAGAATCGTTCTACCCTGTTTACCGGGAGGACTCTCTTCTTCATTTGAACCATGCATTGACGAGTCATCCGGCAGAAACCCTCCACCTCCCATATCCATATCGACATCGCGCTGGAAGTGTTGTTGATGCGAATTCTCACGCATTAAGGAGCTCCGGAATATTTCGTGGCTGTTGTCTTCGGGAACGAACCCTCCTTCTAGACTGATGTAGTCAGTGTTGTTGGGGCTTCGGCGGTCTCCTGTAGGGTCCGGATCTTCGCTCATGGCGGCAGCGCGGAAAAACCCACCGGCTTGTTCTTTCTCAGCTGCATCAGCATCTATCCGGTCTACCTCCTTGCCAATGTCTCTTTCTTCATTTCCTGAGGCGTATGACTGGACCTGTTGCTTGATCCTTAAGCCCAGTAGGAATCTTCGCCACAACCTCAAAGCCTCGTTTGAACGCTTTTTCTTCTCATCCTCTTGTTGCGCTTGACCTAGACCTTCAATTACACTCTCAACTGCTTCCTTGAAGTTTTCCGCGACGATAACTCCTTGTTTAATTGCCGTGCCGTGCCGTCCCTTGAATTGGAATCCAGTAACTGCATCCGCGTAATCAATGCCGAGAATGCGGGAGGCTCTGGCAGCATCACGATGCCGAATGTGTACCCCCCCTCGAGGGACCATGGATGCTACATAGACGTCAAGATTCCCAAAGGCATTACGAGGAACACGACCACGGACTATCGGTGGTGGAACGTAGAGCTCGGTTTGAATGTCCGCGTAAAGGCCAGCACCAACAATTCCCTCGGCACTGTGACCTGGGTCTTCCTCGATTTCTAATCCTGCGTGGCGGTCTCGGCGTGGCTTAGCATGCTTTAGAGGTTGCTCGCTTGGCTGCAGTAGGGATGGACGATTTAGTGGGCATATCCTAACTACGATACAACGGTGAAACTCACCTTGACTTCCCGGCCGAGCCGGTACCACTTGTCCGCACTTTTCAGAGAATGCACATCCCGGCGCCGATAAATTGGTTCCAGCTTGCTGACAGCAGAGGATCCGACATTGACCTTGCCAACTTCTCTCTTTGGATGAATGACTTCATTGTGCCTGAGATGCCTTTCAAGCACGTAGTACGGATGGTCCTTGAAGTCCTGCATGTTTTTTGGCATCTCCTCAGAAGCTTCCCTCTTGGCAAGCTCCGCATCTTCAACTTGGTCCCTATCCTACCATAGATGGTCAGAATAAGGATGCATAGTGTAGAGTAAAAGGCTCACCAAAACTATTCCACGGCGAAAGATCTTCATGGCCTTCCTCCACCATCGATCTCCACTTGGCGTCGTTTCTACCCTGAGTTTTCTGGTTTTTGCATTGTATGCTTTGGCGTACCTACGAGTGACGTCTTTCGCGACACCATCTGCCTCAAAGGCCACAACGTATGTCATGTTAACATCCAGGTCGCTAAGCGGAGGCTCTATTTTGAAAGGCTTTCCGACGGTCATGGTTGCTATTGGATCTACTGGTAGCCATTTCTGATTAGCAGTATTGAATGCTTCTACCCAATAGACTGGATACCGTGGTGGTGGAATAACGGTGCTTTTTTGTACTTGAGTGATTGTCATTAACAGTGCGTCAACATTGTACGCAAGGCCTCTCTCACCTGTAGCCTGTGATGGCGATCCTTGGTAGGGAGAAACACTAGTTCTTGGCTGTCCCATTCTCTTTATCCTCTTAATGGGCGTCGCTGCCGCGCCCCTGGATGGTTTTGATTCGGGTACGGGCAAGGAGCTTTGTCCTTCGTCGCCATCGCTCCCGGAAACATAGGTGGTTGCTTTGGCCGGTGTTGACGAGACAGGGGGTAGGATATTAGCAGCCGACGCGAACGGGAGCGGTTGCAATGAGGCGACTAATCTAGTCTCAACACCAGATGCACGTAAAAAGGCGCAGAAAAGTTGCGCGCCGGTATCAGGGGAACCTTCAAATGCTATAGCTGCCTTTCGTAGATCTGAGATGTCTAGCATTGTGTCTTCGTTTTCTGGAGGTTTGTACTGTTTTCTCCGGTCAGATCATCTCTTGAATGATCAATCATGGTTGCATTTCGTACCGCTTCAAGATCTTTTGGATCCTCTGCCCACTTTGCCCTTTTCGTTCCAGTAGCATTTATTTTGAAATCTTTCCAAACGTCCTTTGCCAGGTTGAGGCCATCTACAAAAGCCCTAGTAGCCTGGAACTGGCTGGATTTAGGGTTCAATGTCAGGGAGGTGGACATTTTTGTATTAAGGAACCTTTTTAAGGATGCCTGATGCCCACATCAGAAACGGCAAATCAACCAGCAAGGACTCGACGACCTGGTGCGCATACCTGGATTGCTGGGTCGTTGCACCACGCGTTCCTTACGTAAGAGTGATAGAGCAGGCATAACACGTGCACCTTATGGATGTTGAGCTTCATCAGCTTTTCAGCAGCAGTTGCTGCTTTCCTACGAGCCTTTGTCGGTGCCTTCTTGGCCGCCTCAGGGCCGCCTATGCTGATTTCTAAGGTGTCTGCTTCCTGAGCGCGCTGGGGCGACCGAAGAAGGTAATCAGCGCCGGAGCCCACTTCAACCTCTTCCCACTCAACATCGCTGTCACCGGTGCCTTCGGAGCTATCGCTGACAGTCTGGACGGGTGGAGAAGCAGGAGGCGCGTCGAGCTTGCGCTTCTTCGGCGGCCGGGCTTCGTCGGGCCTGGAATCCGACAGCATGGCCTTGTAAACATCGGGCACGCCATGGTTCGAGTTTGATCGTTGCCGTCTGCCGGTCCGTGTTTTCGGGGCCATGGTGTTGGCGTGGTGGAAGTCTGTCGCGTCGCGCGATGACGTTGTTTTGGGGGCTGCCAGGTCACGGGGTCGCATATGTTATATTTTCTTCCAACCTAGTCCACCACCTCACCTCCTCGTCCGACGTCGCGTAGATCCGGAAATTGCCAAAGGAAGCAATATGTCGACCAACATACCAATCGGCGAGCTGTGCAGACGCAGGACCGGAATGCTTTCTGCATCGCGCGCCCTTGATGGGAGGCGTGGAACGTAGCATTCGTGCAAGAGCTAGGACATGTGTGAGAGTTTGTTTCGGCAAGAATGACCCCGCGCTGTGTCACGGCAAACAGCAGCAGCTCCCTTACAAGATTGCCCACACCTGCCAGCAGCGCCATGTCAATTTCATCTGCCCGTTATCCCTCGACCGAGCCTCCCTCCAAGCCACGACCATGCCCAAGCTCTGCACCCATTTGGACCCTGGTGATGCCAAAGGGGATTGGAGCAATGGAGCAAACCAAACCGGAGATGCCCCGTGCCCAAAAGCTTGCCCTTCCTCGGACAATGTCTTAGACACTGCATACGCAACGCCAGGCGGGGACGTTGAGAAGGGCCCGGCTTTCTGGGAGCATGTCAAGCTCAGTGTGTCCGGTATGACATGTAGTGGATGCGAGGCGAAGCTGCGCAAGGCCTTGGAAAAAATACCATCAATTGAGAATATCCGAACCGACCTGGTGCTGTCAACAGCACAGTTTTCTGTCGACACAAGGACTATCTCGGCCAACGACGCCTTGCTGCAACTGCAGCGTATGACTGCCTACAGCTTCGAGCGGATCATTCATAGCGAAGGTTTATTCTTGGACATACTCGTGGACAGCCCTGAGGTGCTTTGCGGCCTCGCCTTGCCGTTTGGAGCACTTAGAATCGATCATCTTGGGAAGAGAAGCAAGGAAGGCAAAACTGTTGTACGAATCTATTACGACCCGGCGCGGGTTTATCCGCGCGACCTCCTGGAGAAGGGGTTTGGCATACAAGATATCCAGCTGGCCCCGATACCTCCAAACCCCTCAATAATAGCCGGTAGGAAACAAGTGCGGAAAGAGTTTACGTATTTCGTCATATCTGCTCTCCTCACTGTTCCGGTTCTAATTTTCGCATGGGCGCCTATCCCTGGGTCACGGCTGGTATACAACGCTATCTCACTAGGGCTAGCTACTGTTGTTCAGGCCGGCCTTGCTTGGGAATTTTATCCAAGTGCGTTTCGAAGCCTGATACATTCCAAGACGGCAGACATGGACCTGCTCATTGTCTTGAGTACGAGCACGGCCTGCATCTTTTCCATTGTAGTCTTTTCTTATTATGCGGCCGGACATCCGTTATCTGTTGGATCCTTTTTCGAGACGAGCACCCTGCTCGTGACGTTGATCAGGCTTGGTCGGTTTGTCAGCGAAATAGCCCGACAAAAGGCAACAGAATCCGTTTCCATCAAATCGCTGCAGGCACCTACTGCTTTTCTCCTTTCCAAACATCGGACTGTTACTAGGGAAATTGACGCACGGCTGCTTCAACATGGTGATGACTTTCGTGTTCTTCCACATTCACGGATACCCACAGATGGTGTCGTCATCTATGGTGGCTCGCAGGTGGATGAATCTACTATGACTGGAGAATCGAAACCCGTCGCAAAAGGAATAGGCTCCTCAATCACAGCTGGGACTTTGAACCTAGACGGTACCTTGGACGCCGCCTTGAGCCGCATGCCTTTTGAGAACAGTATTAGCGAAATCGGTGCCATGGTCGAAAATGCCGAGCTTTCGAAGCCAAAGTCACAAGCTATGGCTGATCGCATTGCAGGGTATTTTGTCCCTGCAATTATAGCTATCGCCTGTATTGTCTTCACTGTCTGGTTACTTATCGGCACTTGGCTTCTTGGGCTCTCAGCATCAAACTCGGCTATTGAGGCTGCAAAATATGCCATCGCAACCCTAATCATCTCCTGCCCATGCGCAATTGGCCTTGCCGTTCCTATGGTCATAGTCATAGCGAGTGGACATGCCGCGAAGCACAGCGTAGTCTTCAGCTCGCCTCCGGCCATTGAGGCTTCACGGAAGGTTTCACACGTCATCTTCGACAAGACAGGGACGTTGACTCAAGGGAAGATGACTGTTATCTTCGAGCTATGCGATCCTACCACAAGTTCACATGTCCTGGGCCTGGTTTCGGCAAACAAACATCCAATCTCGATCGCATTATCAAAGCACCTTGAGCACCAAAGTTCCTTGCAGAGTACAAAATTTAAGACGCTTAACGCCACTGCTGGTGGTGGCATTGAAGGTAGGCTTGACGGTCTTGTGGTGAGGGGAGGAAGCTATCGATGGCTCGGAGTTGAAGAGTCCGAGGTACACGGCTTTGTTGTATCGAGGCTCAAAGACGCAGGTCGCAGTATGACTGGCCGAGATAATTCCCATCTCTTCCATTCAACATTCGCCGTCACCGTTAATGAGAAACTGGCAGCCTTATTCGCACTGGAAGATGTTCTACGCCCGGAAGCTGCGCAGGTCATTTCAAAGCTCCGCTCTCAAAAAATTACCGTCTCGTTGGTCAGTGGAGATGAGGAGAGAGCAGTCCAGCGGATCGCGCAATTCTTAAATATTGCCCCGGCAAACACACGCTCTCGCTGCTCGCCGCAGGACAAGCAAGAGTACGTCCGCGATGCCCAACGATGCAATGGCGGCCAAACCGTCATGTTCTGCGGTGACGGGACCAACGACGCCGTTGCGCTGATGCAAGCCAACGTCGGGGTGCACATGGGCGGCGGAACGGACGTCGCCAAGAGCTGCGCGGACGTGGCGCTCGTCCGCCCCGACCTGCGGGGCATCCTCATAGCCATGGACCTGTCGCGGCGCGCGGTGCGGAGGATCTGGTTCAATTTCGTCTGGGCGGCGGGCTACAACACACTTGCAGTGCTCCTGGCCGCCGGGGCGTTCGTCAAGGTCCACGGCGCGGTCATTCCGCCGCAGTTTGCCGGGCTGGGGGAGATTGCGAGCGTGGTGCCCGTCATCCTAGTGGCCTTTTCTCTCAAGTTTTCCAAGCCGGAACCCCTCTCGAGCAGCGGCGGCAACGCCCTGTTGCCGGCTACAGATGCCGGGAGCGAAGGATTACGCGGTGGCATCGTGGACGCCGCGGCACGGGGCGGCGGAGGACATTGTGCGTAAACGTACGAGCCACAGAAGATTTTCTCATTCCACAGACGTTGGTGGAAAGCCGTCCAAAGGGGGCTCGTGCTCCCTCTCCCGGCGGGGAGCATGGCGGTTGGAGTCGACGGCCGACGGTCGGCTCGGCTGGCCTAGACCGCGGTCCAACGCCCTCGTCGGCACGCCGCCGTCGCAAAGCCACTTTGTCGGGACGTTGTTGTTTGATCGGCGAAGGAGGCTCCGTCTTTGATTGGTCCGTTTTTGGACTACGCATGTTGTGGGTTTAAGTCTGACTGATGATACGACGTCCGAGCTACCAGCTGCAAATCTTCTCTCCATTGTTTCTGCGTAGTAGATCCCTATCAGAGTTTGCGCAGCCAGGGGCAGGCAGGATGTCGAGGAAAGAGCCCGTTCTATTTCTTGGTATCTTAATGCTGCGTTAGTCCTTTTCTTGACGACAGGACAACTTGTGATTAATCGGAAACCGTCCATGCTCCAATTCGAACAATGCCGACCACGCAAGGGAAAAAGAAAAGAAAAAGTTTGTCCAAGAACTAAACTTCCACCATGAATGCAAGCTACTCTAGCCCCCCCAGAAACTCCCGCTGCCGAGGAGAGCCCAACAAAACCAGCAGCGGCGACGGGGGAATGATGAACAACCCGTCTCGCGGAAAAAGACGCCAAGACGCCCTGCAATTAGAACAACCCAAAACTCATGCTCACGTCCTGATCATGTCCATCCCCAAAGCGTAAAGCGTTCAAGCTCAGCCTTGGCTGATGATTACTCTGGCGCCCTCCTTGCCCAGAACACCCCTTTCCTTGGCCTTCGGGCTCCTGTCTCTGCCCTTTTTGCGACTGAGGAATCCTAGTACGCCAGATGGGCGCTGCTCGGCAGCCTGTTGTTCTGAGGGCGGGGTGACCATTGCCGAACTCTGATTAGCCATGTCCGACCAGCTGCCCTCCTCGTTCAGCACAACTTGAACGCCTCCTCCCATACTGGTGTTGCGTGTGCTACCGCGCTGCTTCATTGGCCTGCTGAACGAAGGAACGTTGGGATTGCCATCGGGACTCAAGGGATCTGAACCGGCATGGTGGTGGCCGCCATGGGCGTTGGCAAGGTTGGACGTGGGAAGGGGTGGCGAACCGTTGGGCGACTGCGTCGTGGATCTGGATTGCGTATGCGACCGGCCTTGGGTCGTGTTCGTCGTCGTTGGAACCAGGCGGTCATCCGTACAGGTCCTCTGCGATGATGGTGGCCGTTGGTATTCTGACGAAGGATTCGTCTGAGAGCCCGGTTGGCTCGTATTGTCAACCACAGGGGCGCGGTCGGCGGCGACGGCCGTGTAGTTGAAGGGCTCAAACAGCGTCTCTATCATCCTGTGCAGCTCATCTGCACGAATCTCGGCCTCTGTCGCGTCCTCCTTCAAGGCTTCTCGGGGCTTTTGGCGTCTCGCACGCGCCTCAAGTGGCGCTTCCTCCAGTAGAAGTTCCTCGAGATCGTAAGTCGCGTCAAAGTTTGTCTTATCGCTCGACGGGGTAAAGACTGGCTCAATCTCCTTGTACTCCAGGGCCACAAAGTCTAGGCCGCGGAAGAAAGGGTTATCCGTAAAGCTTTCAAAGCTGGTGGCGCCAATGCGCTTAGCCCTGTTCCTCTCGAGGAGCGAGCTGATTGCGTGAAGGCAAGGCATGGAGACGGGCGGGCTGGTAACGGGGTAAGGCACGTCCACTTTACGAATCTTCTCGGACAACTCCTCATGCGACCTGGCCTCGAACGGCCTCTGCTGGCGGTCAGCATAACTTCCAGCAAACGTGCATCAAATGATGCCTTGCGTACCTTGTTGTAGATGCACTCGTAAAAGAGCACGCCGAGAGACCACCAATCCACCTCGCATGAGTAGCCTTTGCCTTCGTAGACCTCGGGAGCAAGATAGGCCAGCGTGCCAGACTTGCTCGTCAGTGGTTTTGCCGGCGTGAAGTCGGATGCCACGTTCTAGGCAGGCGGCTGTCAGTCGAATGCAAGCCATGGGAGGCACGCGCGCGTGCGCGCACAAGGCAAAGACTTACAAAGTCGGCCAAATGCACATGGCCTTCCGAATCTAGCAGCACATTATCCGGCTTCACGTCTCTGTGGACAATCCCTTGCCTGTGAATGTAGCGCAGCGCACATCCCAGCTCGGCAATCCAGAAGCGCACCGCATCCTCGGTGAAGGTCTTGCGTGAAATGTGGAAGCGGAGGTCTCCACCGTTCATTAAATCTACTACGATGTACCTGCAGGGCGGTGAGCAGAGGGGCGAGGAAGGGGCGGGGCCAATGGCACTCACAAGTACTCAATGTCCTGAAAGCTGTATCTTAAGTTGCAAAGGAAAGGGTGGTTGAGATGTTCCAGCATCCGTCGCTCCCGTATGATGTTGCGCACGCTCTCCGACCGTACAACTGTTACACGACGTCAGCACGACGGCTGCAAGGCCAGGAATCCGAGTGGCTTCACCAACCCTCATCTTTCCGAATGTACTTGAGCGCGAAGGTGAGGCCGGTGTCCTTGCGCTCGACGATGCGGACCTTGCCGAAGGCGCCTTTGCCGACGACTCTGAGCAGGCGGAAGTGGTTGAGGTTGACTGGCGGTCGGGGAAGAAAGCGTCGGTCAGCGGAGGGCCTCTGCGGGGAGCGAGGGAGAGTCGTGGCAGCGAGAAGGGGGAGGGGTTGGAGAGGACATGGACATACCTTCGTCGGTAAAGACTACCGGCTTCCCGCTGGAGTTTCCCATTGCGACGACAAAGGGAGCATCAGCGTCGTCGAGGGGGAGAGTGGTGCATCAATAAGGAACAAGGGAATCTGGGTTTCAGGAGCGGGCGGCGGTGGGACTGTGAGGGCAAGCGGGAGGGCCACAAGGGACTGACGGCAGCAGGGGCTAGGGCGATGGAGCGCCATGCACGAGGCGTCGCCCGATGGCGAAAAAAAGAAGAGCCGAACATGAAGAAGGACGATCGCCCCGACACACACGTGTTGCACCGGTCAGCCCGGCCTTCTAGAAGACGCGTCGAATCATGACACGCAGCCGGCTGTTAACGTAGCTAGCTAGCACCTAGTAAACTCTGGGGAAATCTGCGCCTACACGCCCGCCCTTGCGCCGCCGCCCGTGTGTGCCGTAACTGAACCCTTGCAACCTGCAAAAACCCTCAAATGTCGTCCATGCCGCCCGCCGGCTCCTCCTCCTCGCCCGACTCGTAGCTGCCCACCGAGCTCATCTCCTCGTCGTCCTCGCTGTCGTCCTCGGCCTCGTCCGCCGCGTCTTTCGACGCGTACTTCTGCACGTACTCTGCTCCGCCGTCAGCGTCCGCCAATCCCACGTCACCCCGACCGCAAAACCTACCCTTGACCTTGGCGTCGTAACACTTGGGCTCGCGCATCAGGAGGGCCGCCGCCTCGCCGTTGAGCGGGTCCGTCGGGTTCGGGTAGCGCAGGAGCTGCGGCAGGAACACCTCGAAGATGTTGATCATGTCATACATGGGCGACCACGTCTGGTTGATGACGTCTAGGCAAACCGATCCCGATCTACTTGCTCAGCTTTCATTCACTCCCATATCCCGGCAGGCTGCTTACAGCTCGTCAATGTTGGGGTGGAAGATGCGGTTCACAAAGCCGATGCTGGGGCTCTTGTACGGGTACTGGTCCGGCAGCTCCACGTGGATCTTCCAGAGGCCGCCGGCGAAGGGAGCTATGTAGCACGTCAACCCGACCGCACGTCGCAGGAGCTATATAGTGGCAGCCATACTCTCTTCGGGTCCCTTGAAGCGAACATAGAACTCTTGCCTGTCGCCCGTTAGCTCGCCTGGCCAACAGGGTATATGGCGTGACGGACACTGCTCAACGCATCAGTAAACGCCGCCACCCTCGACCTTGAGACCTGAGTATGCTCACTGTTGTCGTTTACGAGCGTAACCTCGTAGTCACTCATCAGCCTGGCGAGAATCACGTCAGTATCCGCGCACGCAGGCTCCATCGTGAGGCAGGTTGCGCATTCGAAGGTGGCGACGGCACATACATCCTACGAACAGGTTAGCAATAAGCCTTTTCCAGCTCGGCAGCGCCAGTCACACATACTTCATGACCTGTCACAGCAAGCAAAGCAATCCGTCAGCTCTTTGTCCTGTCCTATTCCAAGCAGCCATGGCCGATGTGACCTACGTCCGTCTCGATTCTGCGCTTCGGGCTACTCATGTTGCCGGCTTGATCGACGCGATGGCGTAAGGGTAGTCAAGGGTATGTGCGGGTAGGCCGGGGGGCGAGGTCGAGCTCGGAGGTCGAAGGTGGATGGCAGCCGCAGCGGCGACTAGGTAGCTGGGACGGACCGATAGCGGGGAGTGGTTGGTGGTCGCGGGGGCGGGGAATGGCCTAACCAGAGACGGGTGGCAAGGGATACTGGTGTGAGAGGGTGAGAGCGCAGAGAGAGAGAGAGAGAGAGAGAAGAGGGAGCAGTGGCCGGAAGTTGGAGGAGCGGAGGAGCTCAGGACGGGGAGACTTGGGCAGTCACGGGGGGGGGGGACGATCGAAGTCATGAGTCCAGAGGCCGACGCCGACGCTCCAGGGCTCGCTCGCGTCAAAGCCGAACGGCGGGGCACCACGTTTCCCCCCTACGGCACATCAAGCACCCAGCAATGTCCAGACACCCGAGCGTCAAAACATCATCCATGATAGAGGGTGAGAGAGGGTAGCAAGCAGCTGCTCTTGGCTCCGCTCTCACTCTCACGTAATCCGGGCGGTGAGCCTGTCCAGCCGCAGCGGGCCGAGAGAGCACCCTCCACCGACCGGAACTCAACGTACTGCTTCCTGCGCTGCAGAAAACATCACGAACGCGCTGCCTTATAAAATCTCTGCCAACAATGGCTGAACTCCTTTCGGCCTTCGCTTCTTTCATCCACCGCCTTCCATCCACACCACCCTAAATCCCCGGACCCCCTTCGCACCAATGTCGCGCGCGCTTCCCCGGATGCTTCCCGCTCACTCTTGTTTGCGCCGAAAGGGGCTATGGATGCTGCCACGGGCTGCGCTGCCTGCTGTGCAGGCGAGGAACAGCTCTCACTCGCCTCTGGGTGTGCCATCGGCCAACCAGCGCAAAAAGGTCACCATCAACACGCTTCAGTCGCTGTACCGGAAGAGCGAACCGATCGCCATGATCACCGCCCACGACTTTCCAAGCGCGCATGTCGCCGACCAGGCAGGCATCGATATGGTCCTGGTTGGAGACAGCCTTGCCATGGTCGCGTTGGGCATGGAGGACACGAGTGAGATTACGCTGGAGGACATGTTGCTGCATTGCCGTTCGGTTGCGCGTGCGACCAAGGCCGCCTTCACGGTAAAATTTCATGTTGTTATAATTATTTACAGTAAATTGGAGGCTGATATCTTTTGTCCAGGTTGGCGACCTTCCCATGGGCTCCTACGAAATCTCGCCGGAACAAGCACTCGAAACTGCAATCCGCTTTGTGAAAGAAGGCCGCATGCAGGGCGTCAAGCTTGAAGGTGGTATCGAGTTTGCGCCAACCATTGCCAAACTCACCCGCGCTGGCATCCCTGTAGTGGCCCACATTGGGTTGACTCCTCAACGACAAAACGCCCTGGGTGGGTTCCGTGTACAAGGCAAGTCTACTGCGAGTGCTCTTAGGCTTCTCCAAGATGCTATTGCCGTTCAGGAGGCTGGAGCTTTTGCGGTGGTCATAGAAGCGGCACCCGCGGAGATTGCGAGCCTTGTGACGAAGAAGTTGAGAATTCCTACCATCGGTATTGGTGCTGGCAATGGATGTTCCGGACAAGTGCTGGTCCAGGTGGACATGCTCGGCAACTTCCCTCCTGGACGATTTTTGCCGAAGTTCGTCAAGCAGTATGGCAATGTCTGGGCCGAGGCTAGTCGGGCTATCACTGAGTACAGGAATGACGTGAAGTCTCGTGCCTATCCTGCTCTAGAGCACACCTACCCCATTCCCAAGGACGAACTTTCGGAGTTTGAAAAGATTATTGCGGAGAAAGAGGCCGAAGCAAAGGTTACTTAGTTGGTGATCATGGAGTTTACGCCCGTCGAGGATTGGTTTTATACCCTGTCGCTACCTCACCGGAGCGTCTCATTTGTTGCAACATAAATAGACAGACGATGGATACAGATGCTATGGCTCGCATCCTTGTACATAATTGAGCTCAGCTATTATCCATCGACCTATGATATAGACGGTTTGAAACTTACCTTAACCAAATGCTGGCTGAATGGCATACGCAACTACGAGTTCCTCTTTCGTCTTGAAACACTGTTGTGTTTGTCAGTCGGCTTCTATTCGAAACCATTTGAAACCGTCATGACAGGGGGGCGAATAACTCACCCTCCAGAGGTTGCCAAGCCCCTCGTCCAGCCCCGGAGCAAAGACACTGTTGACGTAGCAGAACACGCTTTCGTGGTCCTTAACGCCCAACTTACGTCGCAGAAAGCGAACCACTGTCTCGAAGCTATTCGACGCCGAAACCTTCGCCACCGGCTGACGGAGCTGCGGTGCGGAGCCTACTGCCCGAAAGCGGACGGTCACTGCCTGATGTCAACCCGCGCCCATATGCGTTTAGTGAATCGCAAAGCGACAAAACAGGAGGGGCATGTGAAATGAATAGTAAACGCGGAAACAAAGAAAATTCATGGCGAGAATGCGAGGGCTGATCGATAAGAACACACACCCTTGTCGATTCCTACCTCTCCTGCTCCCTCGAGCGCCTTATGCGCGTCCTTTGGTAAACTCGTCAGAACGACGCTCGCTGCCATCGTCATCGGTAGCTCCGCAGCTTGCTCCTCATCCTCGGCAATGGGCGTTGCGGCCTTCGGTGAGTCGGAGAGCAGCGCGCCAGGGGACTGCGGGTTTGCCATGATGGCAGAATTACTTGTTGACAGATTGCCGCGACACAGAGTGGAAAGCTAAGTTGTGACGATAGGTAAGAACAGCGGCTGGCGTTGTTTGCTAGGCGCGTAGATGTGCGAGGCGAGGCGTTGTATGTAGCTTGACAGGGCTCCTGCTTGATAGGGCTGAGGTCCGTTCGTCTCGCCAAACGGGGATCTACCTTGCGTCGGTAGACACCTTCACAACAACGTACTCCTAGCGTGTTCACTTCATAGAATAAGGCACAATCTTCACCAATTTGCATCGGCTCATTTCCATAACAGCTAAATGTCGAAAGCATGATGCGTAGGTTAAAACATTAGCCGTTCCTCCCTGTCCCCCTCCCCGGCAGCCACGACAGCAACCAGGTGCCATCGTTCCATCTTGCGTACCATTGCCAGATTTGTAGTGACAATACAGGTGAAGATGTATTTACAATGTATGAACGGGTAAGCTGCTCGCGAGCTCCGTACTTCATACCCAAGGTTATTTGTACCTACTAATGCGCCTTGTAAATGCAGAGCAACCGCCGTGTAGTAGGGTATTTTGCAGGGGTACACGCCACCGAAAGGCTGAAAGGCTTTTGGCTCGGTGGATATCCCAAGGAATGGAAACCTCCAACGCCGTACAGCAAGAGCGTACAGTTCGCACACAAGGAAAGCGCTGTCTAGAAGATGGGGCTGGTGGATAAGGTCAGTAAACCAGAGGGAGTGGGTTTTTGAGACCGGATGCAGGACATGATTGTCGATAGTGAAACATAGAAGAATCCGATGCGGACAGCGTTGTGAAGTCAACGGGTCATAAGACTGGTCGCTCCAACTGGTTGAGCAAAGCGTCAAGCTCAGTCCAGTTGTCAGGGGTCAGAGCAAATTTGCGGTGCTTTCGACTCACGGTGTGCTGCTCAACGTTAGCGCCTGAACTGGACATTGCCGATGCGAAAACTTACAATCTCGAAATCGTCGAATTTCTCTCGGCAGTTCTCACAGTAGCCAGGCTTAGGATCTCTCTCTACCGGCTTGTTCTTCCGAGGAACCACAACCCGCCTCGGGTTGTGTTCTTCTTCCGAGTCTTCATGGATGTTCGTTAAGGTTTCCTGCGCCTTACGCTTTGCTGCCCTTGGCAGAGTAGTTCGGTCGCCGTTGAGCGCTGCCCTAACCTCGGCCAAGTACGACGAATTCATGCTGTTGGGAGCGCTGTTCTTCTCCAATACCTTCCGACTCAAATTCTGCAGCTCCTTGCTGGTGTTACCCCGTGCGCCTGGGGCAGCAGCGGTAGAGGAAATCATTTGAGATCTGATGGCTGAAGTGACATTGGATGGTTGGACTCCTGAAGCAACAGGCTCGCCACCAACGAATCTGGGAGCGGAACGGAGACCAGCTTGTGCGCTATCGAAAAGTGGCGGCATGCTGTCGGCAGTATTGGATCGTTTAGCGGGGATGAGCTTCGGCGGGTCGAGTGGCTTCGACACCATGTCCGTGGACTGCTCAGTGTTGCTGATTCGGCGTCGTGACACACTGTCATTCTCTTCCAACGGCGGTCTTTCCTCTGCTTTGGGTGCTGCACCACGCATCCTCGCAGCCTCGAGAGCTGCGGAAGCAGCACGTGTTCTAGGTGCGGCCGATACTGCCCTCTCCGTCTTTGGTTGAGACGGCTTTTGTTGTTCCATCTGCAACTTCCTGACATGGGCTGGATCCTCAACAAAAGGGCATCTTCCCGGCCCCGTCAAGCGGAACTGGGGCCATTTGCCTTCCTCCTTAGTGGGTACCCTCGGATACTCCCTGACGATAACCGGCCGGTACTTCTCGTTCATGCAGTGGACATAGACGTAATATGCGCGAAAGTGGGCCATGTCCTTGGTAGCGACGCCGAGATCTCGATCAGCCGGACCGTTCACCTTCTCATTCCGAAGCAGTTGCGATAAGTCTGCACCCTTGTTGGCCTTTGCTGCAAGTGCGGCATTACCCCTCGTGTTGTGAGCATGGGGCTGCTCTCCGGTATCCGTATTGAACATAGTGTTCAATATGCGGTCGAGCTTCTCCAAAGCCCATATCTTCATGCCCATTTCTCTTGCCTTGACCAAGATATCACCACTGCTGGCATGTCTACGTGTTTCGACATCTTGAAAGAGGCTGCTTTAATCTGTTAGCCTCTCCTGGGAAAAGAACTGTCTAAGATAACTTGCCCCTGAGTTGTAGAGATCCCGGACTTCCTTTGCGCGGTCAGGTCCAGCCCGAGCCTAGATCTCTGCGCATGTTGATCGTTAGAACGATTAAGAAGCGAAGGGTTGATCGTGCGCACCTCGCCCTTGGATTCGGGTGAGGTAATAGCATTTGAGGGTGTCGCTCTTAGGTCAACAGAACTCGATACACTTTGCTCTGGAGGAATAGGACGTGTCGTAATGACATGCGTCACGTCTTTCGAGAAGAATTTCTCTTCGCGCTATTGAAGCAATCAAAGTTAGCATATAGACTTGTTTACAATCAACAAAGCACGTACCGCTCCTAGATACAGCAATTGCCGGACGGCCTTGGAGCGGGCCTCGGCCGGGATACTCTCGAAATAGAAGACGTAATGCGGAAAGACTTTGCGGTAATGCTTTTGCCACTGCCTGATTGTCTCATAATTGTCCTGGACTGCCTTGTTATGGGATTTGTCCACGGGCTTCTGGGCAGATTTCCCATCGCGAACGGCTTCCAACTTTTTCTGCAGCGCGGTGGGGTGGCTGTAACCGGCTCTCTTCAACAGGGCATGACGTCGATGGTCTGCGTCACCCTCTTCGACGATTTGTTTTTTATTAGGTGGGCCTTGGCCATAAATGAAGTCTCTCTGGTCTTGCGCATGGGGTCGCGGTCGCTTAGCCGCGGCTGCCGCTGGCGGTCGGTAAGGCGAGTTTGTGGCATTGGGTACGTTGGCCAGAGGGACGCGTCGCGTCGTCATGGTGTGAGGAGCGTGCGATGGCGAAGGTACGGAGACTGCTGCCATACGTGGCGGTGATGGAAGCAGAGCTGCGGGAGGGGCAATGCGAGCAGCCTACGCGTGACAGGGCTACACGAGGCGTCTTACAAAAGCGCGTGGGCCATGACGGTTCTGGCGTGGGCGGGACGCGACGTGGAGGGAAAAGCAACGACAGGCGGATTCTCAGAGAGAGACGGTGTTGTGTTTGGGAGGCCTTTCTTCGGTGGGTTGTCGTTGTGATTGTTGTGGCTGGCATCCGCAATCGTCAAGCTCGAACATGGAAGTCGCGCTAGGGCCGTCGAGACGGCATTGGTAAGCGAAGCCCCAGCAACCGCGACCAACGTCAATAATAAACTCGGCCATGGCACACACGCACGCACGCAAAAGAACGGATGTTTTCGATTCTTCACGCCCTCGGCCCAGCCACCCCGAGTGCCAGACTATTGACCAAGGCTTGCTTGTGCACGCACATCGGCATGCAAATAACCGCTAGCATCATCCAAATCCATATCTTCATGCCGTGCGCCCATGCAAACACGTCAAAAAACGATCGCACCGCCTGTCACAAGATAAACGACTTGCCCCACAAAGCCCCAATGGTCAGGGCAAACTTACCATCCACAACGATATCCGCCGCGTTGATGTAGCTCCCAGCATTCGAACATAGCAGAATCAAAGGCCCCGTGAGCTCTTCAGGCATGCCCATCCTACCCATCGGATTGCGACTGTTCCATACACTCCGCGCCCTCTCCAAGCCGGCACCCTCGTTCAGTATCGTGTCCATATAGCCTGGGCTGATACTATTGACCCGAATGCCATACTGGGCCCATTCGGCCGCCAAACAGTTCTTGAGATGCAGCAGAGAGGACTTGGAAACGTTGTAGGCGACTTGGGGTTGTGGGTAATTCACGATGTGACCAGAAATAGCTAAGTGTCAGGGTCAGTACATGATCTTCGTACCGAGGATGATCATCTGAAACGCGTCACTTCGACAGTTGATTGCTGTCATGCATAACGCTCGCCTAAAAAACAAGCAACGTCGTCTGGCTGTATATTGGTATGGGGAACTTACAAGCGATGAAGACGATGGAGCCTTTGGACTCTTGCTTGATCATCTGTCTGTCGATAGGTTAGTTCCGAGACAGTCAATATCCGTTTTCTCAGGACATACCTAGCGGCAGCCTGCGCACATAAAAAGGAGCCTGTGGAGTTTGTCTCGAGCACTCTTCGCCACTCTTCGGGTGACATGTCAATGGCATGGGTGCAGCCTACTACGCCAGCAAAGCAACAAAGGACGTCAACACTTCCCAAGTCTTGTACAGTCTCTTCCATGGCCGCATTCACGCTGTTAGCATCAGTGACATCGACCGCCTTGGCAATGATGTTGGCGTCTGGAAAATCGACTGTCAACTTCTGGATGTGCTGTTTCGCTTGTGTTGGGTTGACATCAAACAATGCAAGACCGGATACGCCATGCTCGAGCAAGGCGCGCGCGCCTTCTAGTGCAAGCGTCCCAGCGCCTCCCGTTACTGTGTCACGTAAGTCAAGCCTCAATGGACCGGGTTACCGTGCACGTACTGACTGCATTTCCTTCTACAGCAAACCTATACCGTGCTCTTCCTTCAGAATTGAGATAGTGGGGCATTGGCGGAGGAGGGCCGGTGAGAGAAGCGGCTGTGCCGTCGGAGAGCTTCATCTCGGGTAGCTGGCGATTGACAAGGGCATCGCGTGCATTTGTGTTGTCGGGCATGGTGGACGAGGAATGATGAAGAAGCAAGATGAAGGACAACACGGGAGTGGAAGTATTTGATAAGGTGCTTGCTGTCTGATACAACCCCGCGACAGGCAAGTAACTTATCCGGGGTCACTCGCAGCGGGGAAAACTGCCATCGAGACGTCATCACCAAGGCAGGTCGCACGAGCTGCGGAACGGCAAGTTAGCCGACTCAACGGCGCACGTGGTGCTGACTCGCCCACTCGCCCATCCCCTTCCTCCAGGTCCCGGGAGAGGCATGGGATTCATCGACATTGCGGCATCTAAGTCACGCTTGGCATGCCATTATGAGGCGACCCGCCGCCGTTGATGTGACACGCATCGTCCCGTAACGGCCCGATTGGTCTGGCATCGCTTGCTTTCTAGTGCACCAGCTACTGTACCTGTGCCTCAGCCTCACCTTCGCAATTCTCTCGGTTGTTTCAAAGACGATGGAAGCTGCGTGCGCCGCGTTGGTGAGTAATCCCATGGCCCGGTCCAAGGGAAAAGCGGTGAAACAATATAGAATCTTCGTCTCCTTCTAGACTTGCTTACTGTACAATGGGTTGCTCGTTCCGAATCTCCTTAAAAGTCCGCCTTCCATAGGCTTCCAGAAGATTTCCCGATCACTACAGTCGTCTCAGACCACTTGTGCCTCATTCGTCTAAACCATTCCCCAGTAAACCATGCCACACCACAGCCTTGCCTTGCCTCCCAAAGCCCCGGAAGTGGAGCACTGGCGGGACGAACCTTTCGCCTTACTTCCTGTCGCCCTATACAGCATCGTGGATCTCTCAGATTCAGACTTGGTCGAGCTCCAAGATGTCTGTGAGTCAAAGTGCGAGAGCAATCGCGGCGAATGCGTGCGACCACCGACGAAGTGGAAGTTCGTCGGTGACAACCTGAGCGCCGTCTTCAGATATCACGTTGAGCTCGCTGAGTCCCGTGAATTCGATCCAACACATTTCATTGTCGCCGTCCACACCAACTGGAATAGTGAGGGCGTGCTCCTGATCACACTGGATTCAGACGAAGAAGAGTGCACCACCGACTCTTTCTGGATCAAGGCCGAAGATGCTGGGCAAGCTTATGTTGATGTTTTGATTGGGAAGTTCGAATGGCCCGAACAAAAGCAAAAGCTGGCAATTAAGGGATAAGGAGAGAAGACGTAAGATGGTATGCTACAAACCACGTATTCATAAGCAGCTGACGTTTTTCTAACAGCAATTCGTTCAGCCGTAACTTTACTGGCACTGAAACGGCGAAAATCAGTCGCAGTCCTATAATGGGCAAGATCAGTCCGCGCCCGTCCGAGCCCGGATCACGAGTTCACCATCTGCAAACCGAGCCTCACGTATCCAAATACAGAGAATCGATCGATCTAAAGGCTAGGAAGAGCAACTGCCGGACAGTTGAATGCACTAAGAAACGGGGCCACTGGGCCTGGCCATCAAAGGCCATGATGGACTACTCGGTAAATCCCAAAAGAGCCGCACTGCTGCAGCGTGTGCCTTGTGGGGTTAAAACAATGGAGGAAATTGGCATTGTTCTAAACACGTTTCGAGAGAGACAGGATATGGATGTGGCAGAGACGCAACGTATAGAGAAAAAAGTAAGAGAGAAAACGTGAAGAAGATGCGACAGATATAGAATGGAAAAGAAAAAGTGAAAGCACATTCTTCATTGATTTAAGCTCGTAAGGCCCGAAGATTCCTTGCAGATCAAAAAAACCTTATCCACGGTCTTGGGATTCGAAGGCGGAAAATCTGGGTCTGCGTTGGCGGCTCAAGCAGGTTTCTCCAGCAGGGGCTGCGGGACGGACCATCGGTGGAGCAGCCTCCCGCTCACCGAACCGCAATCTTGCCCAATGCCGCCCATCTCGGATTCCCTGCTCCCCACAACCACTGGGCCACGCCTCATTCTCTACGCGCAGACGCACCATCAGAATGGCGCGCCCGTGTCGCTTCTGCCGCTCATCACCAACCAGACGGGCCTGACACACGTCATCGTTGCCGCCATCCACCTGAACGAGGGTCCGGGCAACATTACGCTTAACGACGATCCGCCCGAGGCCCCCAAGTATGAGACGCTATGGTCCGAAGTGCGCTTGTTGCAGGGCGCGGGCATCAAGGTCATGGGCATGTTGGGGGGTGCGGCCAAAGGGAGCTATTGGCGCCTGCAGGGCAGTGACAACGAGGTGAGTCTGGAATGGAATCGCTGTTTGCAGCGCCACGAGAGACTGATGATGGATGCCCACTGCAGTTTGAGGCCTACTATGCGCCCCTCCGAGACATGATTCGCCGGCACAACCTCGATGGTCTCGACCTTGATGTCGAAGAGGAAATCGCCCTCCCCACGCTCCTCCGCCTCCTCATGCGCCTCCGCGCCGATTTCGGCTCCGACTTCATCACGACCCTTGCTCCCGTCGCGACCGCTCTCCTTCCTAACATGCAGCTCCCTCCGACGACGTACACGCCGCCGCTCCCGGTCCTACCAACTGACATTCCCAGTCCCAGTGCCGGCATCCCGCTCACTGTGCCCCACAGCCTGCCACACCTAAGCGGCTTCTCGCACTTTGCACTCGAGGCCGGACATTCCTCGCTCGTCAATTGGTACAATGTGCAGTTCTACAACGGATGGGGCGACGCGTCGAAGACGGCCTTCTACGACGCCATCCTCGCCGCCGGCTGGCCTCCAAGCAAGGTCGTCCTCGGCGTTCTGACGAACCAGGGCAACGGCGGCAGCGGCTACGTCGCGCCGCGCATGCTGGAAGACGTAGTCAGGGTGCTGCGCGCGAGGAAGCCAGACGCTTTCGCTGGCGTCATGGGCTGGGAGTACTTCAACGCGGCCCCGCATGTCGGCGAGGCTGACATGGCCGACATGGAGGGAACACTCACCAGCCAGCCGTGGGAGTGGGCGCAGCGTCTAGGTCGGGTAGTGCGTACGGCGCTACCAGCGCTGCCTGGACACGCCGAGGCTGGGCGCGGCGTCGAGAGACCCTCGGAGCGCGCGTCCGGCGCTGGGCCGATGCCCTTGCCTGAGACGCAGGTGCCTTGGCCGCCAGAGAAGGTGCAGCAGCTTGTTGATTTGGGGTTCGGGCGCCCGCGTGTTGTTGCTGCGTTGAATGCAACGGGAGGCGACGTCGAGGTGGCGGCGGGGCTCCTATTTGAGGAGTGAGGCCGTTGGGGCGCCGTGTAGATGGCTGCTAGATGGTACCAGATGCATATGATCCATACGTGTCTGCTGCACCACAGCAAATGTTCAAGTCACAATGCGGTGCGCATGCCTAACCGCTGTACATACAAGTTTCAGACATAGATATAGAGAGTCTTTTGTCTCCCAGAATGCACATGCATGTGATTGGTGCAAGTTCAGGTTCTTGTGTGTGTACTGGACTCAGTAGTTACTTGGTGTTTAATGCTTTCCCTGCTTTTTTGTTCCTTACGCCCATGTCCTGATCATCGTATCTGTTCTTTCAACAGCACATAATCAAACCTTTTTGACGGAGGCAGCAGAAAGAGCATGGACGGGCGAAAAAGTAATGAGGCTACGAAGCTAGGGAGCAAATCAAACCAGACAATATCCAGGGCGGCAAGCAGGCTCATAGCTTAGCCTCATCCTTTCCGTCCTCCATCCCTTTCGGTTTTTCATTTCATATTTCATATGCTTCTGTCCGTCTATTTGCTTGTCTGCAAAGAGACACTAGGAAAGCCTCCTTGCGCCACAGCTCCAGAGCAGTCAAAGAAATGCGACGTACACCACCTAGTGAATGTTCGGCATCCCAGCACGGCGAAATCGGCATTCCTTCTCAGAGAAGAGGCAAAACGAGACGTGCTTCGTTCCTAGGCCAGCCAGAACAAAGTGGGTCACAGGGGCTGGTAAGTACTACTAGGAGTAGGAGTGCAGACATGAAACCCCCTAAAGGATGGTGCGCGGGCGCTAAGATGGAGCTCAGTCCGCTGGCCAGGCCGAAAGGGGCAGCTTGTCGAGCAACGTCGAACGTCTAGGTGCCGCCACAGCGGGGAGCCTAGCTGCTGACTAAGGAGAGGCCCAAAACGGCAACCGCCTGCACCAACGTCGAACGTCTGGGTGCGGGCGCGCGGGGGGTTAGTAAGCTGGCGATAAGGCTGTCTTATCTGGCTGCGAGAGGAGAGTCTTGTGTGTTTTTAGTATGTGTCGGTATGGACCTCTGTATGTACGTATATACAAACCGCGCCGTTCCCCTCCCTCCTCTCGCTTCTTCTTTTTCCTTTCCATACCCGCCAGCTCAGCAACGCTACTCCTTCAGCCCAACTCTCTCCGCCACCTTCTCAGCAATGCCCTCAAACGCGACTACGCGCGGGCTGTCCGGCGGCTCGGCAACAACGGTCGGCTTCCCGCGGTCGGCATCGCTGCAGATGGCCGGGTGCAGGGGGATGGAGCCGAGCAGTGGAGCACCGAGCTGCGCGACGCGGTCGTGCATGTGCGCGGCGCCCATGGGCGACGTGAAGATGGGGGTTTCGTGCGCGCAGTGCGGGCAGTGGAATGTCGACATGTTTTCGACCATGCCGAGAAGCGGGACAGACACTTTCTTGAACATGTTGATGCCCTTGATGGCGTCTTTGAGGGCGATGTCCTGCGGAGTGGACACGATGACGGCGCCTGCGTGCGGAAGTCAGCGGAGGGTGATGAGCAAATGGTGGTGCGTGAGGTCGGCGCACCGTCGAGCTTGACTTGCTGCGTAATGGTCAGCTGCACGTCGCCCGTCCCCGGCGGAAGGTCCAGCACCAGCACGTCCAGGCCGCCCCATTCGACCTCGTGGAGCAGCTGCTGCAACGCCTTCATGACCATCAGGCCACGCCAGACGACGGGCGCGTCTTCGCCGACCAGGTAGCCCATGGACATGGACTTGACGCCATAGTTGGACAGAGGGATGAGTTGGTTGTCTTTGGGCGTCCAATTAGAATCCAGACCAGGGGGCTAGGCGAGGGAAGAGCAGGACTGACTGGCTGAGAGGCGCGGTTCGCCCGACAGGTTCAACAGGGTTGGAATTGAGGGCCCAAAGATGTCCGTGTCAAGGATGCCGCTGCGGAGACCGCGACGCGCAAACGACAAGGCGAGGTTTACTTGAGATGGATTATTTTAGTATCCTTGGTCTTGCGCGACGAAAGCTACGGCTACGGACCTGCTATCGTCGACTTGCCCACGCCGCCTTTCGCAGAAGACACGGCTATCACCTTGCGCACATCCCGGATGCTGCGCTGTTGCGGGAGACCGCGCTGCATGCGCGGGATTTGCGGCGGGGCGCCGGAGCGCGGGAGACCCTTTGGTTTGGATGAGCGCGGGATTGCATCGGGGGCGCGTCAAGTGCTGGCATACCAAGGGGTTCTCATGGCGCAGCGCCCGCAGCGTCGAGAAGAGGCGCGTCGGACAGCGCATGGTTGAGGCGTGACGTCTGGAGTCGCGCGGCTTCGGCTTCGTGCCGGGGTCGATCGCCGGCCAGCCCTAGCCGCCAGCGCTCCCGACTCGTCCGTCTACGTCTACATACATCTACTACGTGTCGGAGTGAAACGGATGTTTGCGCTTCTGTTGCGCGGGGTATCTAACGTCTTAACTACTCTTCCCCATGCCCTCCCTTCGTTATTTCGTACTTCGTAAATGCTGACCGTCTATATGTATCTTCAAGCAAACATCACCGCTCCAAACGCCTACAATGTTCAGTCCGAGTCGTATCCCACCAACGTCCGAGGGTTTGGCGTGCTTGATGCACTGGTTTGCTCCGCCTTCTCCTCTTTCGCTGATAGTGCAACTCTCTTCGCAGCTGGCTCATCGACGTCGTTGTCAGTGTTTTTCTCACTGCCATCATCAACATCATCGCTCTTCCGCTTTCTTTTCAGCCCGGCAATGACGTGGGATCCTCTCTGCTTCTTGACTCCCAGAAATGGGTCCATGGTCGCCCGCGTATTACCAGCAAGTGCCTGTTGCAAACGGGCCTTGCTCTGATCCGCCTTGCGTGCAGCTTTCGTCAAGCCTTTAATGACAATGGGGGCTGTCTTATCTTGCGCCTCCTCAAACAGGGGCTTGGCAGCTGCTCGCTCCAGCGCGCCGCGCTCGCCTTCTCCTTCAGCACCAAACTCGATCAGTTTCGCGCGCCTTCTATCCTCCTCGATCTCGTCGACAATGTCCACACCGAGGCCAAATTTATTTTGCAGCTCTTCGCGCACGAGGTTTTGCTTCTCGCGTTCTTTCCGTCCCGCCCGGAAGTTCTTCCGCAGCGCACTGCTCCTGGCGTAAGGATCTCCCCAATCCTTATCGCGCAGCAAACGTAACTGCTCCACGCGATCTTCGTCTTTGTGCCGTTGCTCACGCTCATTTTTCCGGCCCTCCAACGCCGCAAATGCGTCTTCGCGCCTGCGTTCCCGCTCCTCAGGCGTCAGGATTTCGTTCCCACCCTCGCCGAACTCGTCCGCCGTCCGCGCTGGCCCGTAATCCCGCCGCCGTGCGCCGCTCTCAACCACATACTCGGTGGCGCGCGGATCCGTGCGGAAGACGATTTCGCCACCGCACGCCGTGTGTTTTAGCCGGAACTGGTAGATGGGCGTGGTGTAGTAGTTCCCGACGCGCTCCTTTTCGGCGTTGAAGCGCACGCCCTGCCCGATGATGCTTTCGGGTTTGCAGGTCGTGCACCATATCGCGAAGGGCATCTCGAAGCGTATTGTCAGGATGCCTTTGTTGATTTTCTTAGCACGCGCCCCCAGCGGATGCGAATTTTTATTAAAAGACGGCGGATTGGTTTCGTCGGGCGCATAATAGCGCCCCATATTGAACCCTTGCATGGTTGGGGATGGGGCGCGCGGAGCGCGATCAGAGCGATGGTATAGCTTGGGAGTGTGAGCGGAGTCTTCTGTGCTTCGCGCCTTGTGTGTTTTGTGTGCGATGTGTGGGGAGTAAGTGGGTGTTGTGTGTCGGGAGTGGTGGAGGAAAGCTGGGGTCCATGCATGCGGGCTGTAGGGCTGAACTGAACCTGCACCATGATGATTCTCTGCACGTGACGACCCATCACCCAGGTTACCGTCCTTGGTGCATCTTTAAACTTCGACACGTTACCAGTGGTAGAGTCTTCTCCACCCTCCTAATTTCATCCTGCTTATAATTATTTTCCAGTGCGGTATCTGTGTGAAGCATAATTCGTCACTGTTTGGATCCAAAAACGACTGTTGGCAAGAGATAATCACTTAACACTGCCAAACTAACCACTACGCAAAGCGAAATTTGTGTGGTTTATTTATTTAAAGTTTTCCTGGAGCATGTCATGGGTTTTTTGGCCCTTGGTCTTGTTACATCGTGCTTTCCCGAACGGTCGGTCTTGACATTTGGACGAGATAAAGCTTCAAGCCTTCTTCTTCCAATCTACCTAACCTAATTACAAGCCTACTGGACACCTATTAGCCAAATGTATCACCACCTGTGAAGATGCCCCGCGGAAGAAGAGGATTACAAAGAGGATATCGTGGTAGAGGCCGTGGTCGCGCAAGGACACCTCCCCCTACTGCCGAAGAATTTCGAGCCCAAGTCGCAGTATGCCATGCGCCTGTTGCACTCTGGCGTCGACACATACTGATTCGACATACCTAGGATTGGGAGCGATGGGCGCACGGCTTTGAGCCTGCCTTACCCCCTCACCTCCGTATCGCCCATCTTCATCAGCGCCCAGTCACACTTGAGGTTGCCATGGCCGGTAACTTTCGCACGCGACCCCTTGAAACAGAAGACATGCGGACTATTTGCCAGCTGCACAGACTTATACGTCCTCGCCGCAACACTGAATTTGGCCGTCGAGAGACCATCGAAGCCCTGACTTCAGCGCTGCGACAGCGATTTGGAGATAATGGCGGCGTGGATTTTCCTGGCCTGACCAGACGCGACATAGCCAGAGCACGAGACGATCAGGGTGAGCCGCTCCATGATGACCAGCGAGATCACGGGGATAGCGAGGAACTGAGTGAGCCGCTCAGGAACGGGGCTACAAATAGCGAAGAGCAATCAAGCTCTACCGTTGCGCCGGGATCAACCAGTCCTGATGAGCCGCTTCGAAATAGAGCCACAGAAAGCGAGCAGCAATCAAGCTCTACCCTTGAGCGGGAATCATACAGTCCCGTAGCCCAGAAAGAGTCTAGCGACGATTCAAGTTATCATGAAGATGAAGAGGATTATGACTAGACTGCCGAGAGCAAAGATTGATGACCAACCCGCATACAAAGAGACGAACAAGCGAACATGTACTTAGCGAAGCACCTACTAGAGGTCTGTACAAGGCCGCGGAATAGTGTCATTCAATCAGTATGGTAACCTATTCACATACATTCAATCCTCTGTAAACAATGTCTTTGATCTGCTTAATATGCAGCGCTATCTAGTTGCCTGGGAACTGCTTCATCACTTGCCGAATATCTATCGACCCCCGAGCCAGCCTTTTACGCTCCAAATAATCTGTTAAATCCGCTTAAGTGTTAAGTGTTTTACTCACTTTTGTACTCTACCATTTCCGCACCTCGGAGGCTTTCTAAAGTACTCAATTGTGGAAATAAAATTTACTCACAGCTATTGAAGGGGTACTTCATAGGTACAGTAGAGCAAAACCAACAAGTGGCCGTGAGGGACGGCCAATGGGCGAGAGGAGAAAACAGTAAAGAGGGCGGGGAATTATCCCGAACCTTATTCACTAGGCGTCCAGTTTCTTAATAACCTGACTTTCACTCAACTTCTCTTAACGCGCAACTTCAAGCACACGTTCATGTTAACTAAGAGCGTGTTAACAGCCCGTTAGCGCTAATAGTTAGTCAGCCTAGCTGTGTTTGTATGCGCAACTTGAACTCTCTCTCTCTCTCTCTCACTCTCTCGTTCAACCATCTCCCATTCGACCCAGTCTCCAACACCTCACCACCGATAACGATGCGGGGCAAACGCTCTTATGAGTTTGCCAAGGTCATACAGGCTAAGGCACAGGAACTCGAAGAAATGGTCCCTAAGAACATTTGGCCCTCGGCCACCCCCTGCAAGTTTCGCCTCGCATTAACGAACCTCTCAGGTGGCATTCACGTACTAAACTTGCGCGAATGCGACCCTAAATTCATCGCCACACTCAACAACCTCTTCGCCCACTATAACTCGGACCGCGGAGAGACTGGAGTCATTACTTGCTTGTTCGCGGCGGTGAAGGACCGCCTTTTCACCGTGGAAGACAACCCCCATGAACCGCCAGGCCTCATTCCGGTAGATTTAAGGTCAAGCGAAGTATTCGGGCTACCGGGTCTGACCATGACCGATTTAAAGACGGCCGGGAAGATGGTAGAGGAGTACTTCAAGCGCAACGGGACTGTCGGCGAAGGAGGTGAACTAGACCCCGAGGACCTCAAAATACCAAAAATCCCCATGAACTCGAAGGCTAGGCATATTGTTGAACACCTTCTACGAAGCCGACCGAAGTCTCCATTGCGTAGCCAGTATACCAACGATTCGGATGGCGACAAAGCGTGGGATTACGATACGGATGAAGCCGACCAATTTCGCTGGGAGGAATGCTGCAACCAAGTGGAGATCAACTGGGAGCATGAAATTTCCGAGTGCATCCCTCTCCACCCGCTCAACCTTCGGCAGCCGAACAGCGAAAATGAATACCATGAAGTTGGCGCGAGAGAAGGTCGTGATGAGGCGCTCTCTCTCAACGAACTAGGTGGAGTTGGTCGCGACTTTTACACTCCGAGTGATTGGGATTTCGACTTCGTTTACAACTTATGGGTAATCTCGATCATCACTGAAACCGAAATGCAACTTGCACACGAGTGGATTAGTTGGGCATTCACCAAACGCCTCTTCACATCCCACAACGCTGATATGATGTATTGTACTACTTCCCACGACATCAAGACTGCTGCGTATGCTCTGGCAAACTACCTTGACGAGGGCTGCCCAGCTGATTACACCAAAGGACCGGGCGTCGTACGCGAGGACAAGAAAGTTATGAAGAAGAAGAAGAAGAAAGGTCCCGGTCGGGTTAAGTTTAATTTGGCTGGATAATGGAACTGACTTGGACATACATGAGCTTTGGAATAAGGAAGAATCACACAGCACGATGAAGGATAACCTTTGTCTTAGTGGCAAGTAAAATCGACTGACAGAATCTGGTTACCTGGTAGTTCACTTTCAGATACCCGTGCTGGCTATGGATAGATTCAGAAGCAATTAATTTTCCTCGCATCACAGCGACATGAGTATTCTTTTGCTTGTGTATATGATCGCGCTATGAGCACGTCTTGATACAATCAGCTCATCGCCATTTCCGCTATTATTTCACTTATAAAAAGTCGTGTTTACGATATTGATATTATTATTAGACAGTTTCTCCTTTACAGCTTTCTCAAGGAATCTCAAGTTTAAAGACAGACGGTGGGATGGTAAAGTTGGTAAGATTGAAGCTACAACTTGGTAATTGCTACTTCCAACCCTTCTCCGCATCACCAACTGCTTTCTACCTAATTGATCTAGATGTATGATATAAGGATGTTCTTAATCTAACATTACCATTTGCCTCTATGACCTTTATTTTTAATTCATATGTTAGGCATGCGGAAGATTTTAGTTTCGTTTTCCACAAGTTTATTCCGATATTTGTTCTCTCTACCGTGTAATAAACAAATACCCGGTCAATCGTATGTATTCCTAGTTCTATGTTATTATAGTACGATGCTGATTTTAACTTAACTTTGTCAAAGCATCGTCGACCAAAAAGAAAACAATAATAATAAAACAGTCTTTGGAGCCGATGTCTTTGGAGAGTTCTTCGCTTGAGTTTAATAGGATATCTTTTAGGATTTGCAACACTACTGCCGTGAACATTCTCTTCACATCACTGAAACAAGCTCCACCGTAACCGTTGTTGTCCCGAACTGTTCATTGGTCATCTACCCTTTCTCATCATCACACTTGAACACATTTTCTTTCCAATGCCCATGAAAAACCAGTTCTAGCACAGATATGTAAAAGTAAAGTAGGAGCTTTCCAAACCATAGTGGTCTTCACCAGCATCGCAAGCAGAGCACTTATACGCCGGACAGCTCTTCATAAACCAACCAACGCACAAAAGACTCGTCACGAGAAAGGAAGAGCAGTAGGCAGTACCTCAAACAGCGAGACCAAACCCCCACAGCACTCACTGATAGCAAGGCCCAGTAGCAGCGGCACAGAACACTGCAGTGACCACCACCATAACCCACCATTATCTGTAAACAGATTCTCTCGGACCAAATCTTAGGCCCATACCTAACTAAAACCAAACAAACAAACAAACCAAACCAGCGCCCAGCCCAGCCCACCAACCCACCAAACACAGCACAGCACAGCACAGCATCCGTCGGGCACCCCCCGACGCCTCCCCACCGCTACTGCTAGACAGCACGCCCGCAGCCGCTTACCCCGTCGCCACCGGGCCAGGCCGGAGCCGAGACGGCAATAACGCACACACGCAGGCAGCTACTCTTACTCCCAGAGTAGGGCGCAGGCGGCTCCCGGCGCCGGCGAGGACGGCGAGCCATGGGCGACGACGGGGCGGGTGCGTGGTGGGTGCTCTAAGAGCTGCCCTGCCTTAAGCTGCTCCACAGATCTCGGGACGCACGGCACGGCCGGGACAGGGCAAGGGCAATGCAGCCGGGCAGGGCAAGGCAGCAGGGCACCACGGGCGACGGGCCAGACCGACCGACCATTCACCCACCCCTCGGGTGCGCCGGCTGCGGTTGCAGGGGCGCGGCGTTCCGAGCCGGTCTCTGGGTTGGGCCGTGCTCCTTTGCGTGGGGGTATGCTTGGGGCGAGGGTGTGGGGGAGGGGTTGGTCGGTCTGGGGAGATGTGTGGAGGGAGTGAGGAAGGGAAGGGGAGGGAAGGCGGGGTTGCTGGGGGTGAATGTTGAGGATGTGTTGCTGGTGTTGCTGTGCTGATGCTTGTTTTGGTTCGGATTGGGCAGGAATGTGGTGCAGTCCAGACGTTTGTTGTCTCATCGTTCAGTGAAAGCATCACGACGAAGCATCCCTTGCGCCAGCGCCGCAACAGCAACCCCACCACAAACCGCAAAACCAAAACGCAACAAACGCCGCAAGTGTCTTACGCGCTGGCAGAGTAGAGTACCGATGCAGCAAAACAGCCCACGTCGCCGCGCCGCAGCGCAGCCGCAGCCGCCCAACCCAACCCCCCCATGCAAATGCCGCAAACGCGCCAAACGCGGCCAAATCGCCAAGGCACGCAAAGAACGGCGCGCGCCGTCTGACCTGCCTGAAGAGGCAATTCGCCGGCACAAGCTCGCGCGGCGGCAGAGCCGCGCGGGACGCGTGCTTGGCGGGCCAAATCGTCATCATCATCATGCCTGCTCGCTGCTTGCGGAAGGAGCGCCGTTCGTCGCGGCTGGGGGAGGCAGGATGGGGCATGACGATGCGACAAGAGCGGCGGCGTCATAAGCAAAAAAGAAAAAATGGGATGCCAGTGATGATCGATCAGATCAGCGCAATGGCATGCATGCCGATGGCTGTCTGGCGGGCTAAAAGCAGCTACTGCACAGCTAGTTTTTTCCTTCTTCCCACTCTTCGTGTTTGTGGTGGAGTTGGTGGTTGGGGTGGCGGCGCGGAATGAGAGAATGAGACGTCAAGATTGGAGAAGTGCATGGGGGGGGGCGCAGCCACGGCTGTGTCGATCTCGATGATGAAGGAACAAAAATTCGAACATGACGGACCTGGAGTGTCGTTGGCGAGTCGACCGTCACGTGTCGGCCCTTGGTGGTGGTGGCGGTAGGCTCATCCCCACACCATGGACCGGGGAAGCGAGACGATTGGCGCTCGACGGAACGGTGCAGGAAGAGCCGTGATGGTGGTGATGATAGTGGTTGGTGGTTGGAGAGATGTCGAGCACGTGAGCAGCCAGCGCCGGGCTACCTCTTCTAGTGCGGGGAAGCAAACAACGGTACCGGGCGGCAGACGACCAGGTCTCGAATCTTGGATGATCAGCTGGGCATGTAAGATTTTTTTTTTTTTTTTTTTTTTCTTATCGTTCAGGAATTTTTTTTTCCTCTTT